AAAAACTCCCCCTGCAGCTGAGAATGGGAAAAAGAGGAAACGTAATTCCCAGGTAAAAGAGAAGGCTGATTCAATGAAAGAGGAAAATGGTAGTGGGACAAGATCAAGCACTGATGACTCAACAAAGTCTAATGGATTTCGGCAGAATGGAAGCAGGAGGAAAAGCACACCTCGTCGAGCAGCTGAAGCGGGTGTTGAGTGCAAATAAGCTTGTGGTTACCAGAGGTCTCTTCTTTTCACTTTGCCGGATACTGGACAAGATAGGAAGTGAGGCCTATTAAGTCTCTAGTTAATATTGCTTTTTTCACAATTGTTTCTCTTGATTTTTGGCAGTTCACCATTTCTGATTCCTTTTTAGCTTTTACTTGGAGATTTGCTACTAATTCTGTTGGTTGTAATTTTGATAACTTTATCCATACTTTGTTATCATTGGTTCCTTGTAATATATGGTCTGCATTACCTGCTTATGCTTTGCACTCGTTATTTATTTATTTTTTTTTAATGTTATTTTCCTTAGTGTGATTAAAGTTTGGTGTCTGTTATGCTACATAGTTGTCTTATTTTATTGAACTTGTTATAATATAATGATTACCATTTCTATTGCTGTCATGATATATTTGCCTTTTTTTTTTCTTATATACTTTTCATTTACACTATGGACAGCTTCTCACCATATGTAAATAGGATTTTTGGTTTATGCATCTTGCACTATCTAAGATTTTGCTACTATTAAATAGCTCGATTACTTTTTAATAGTAAGGCTCCTAACTGAAGATAGGAAGCAAGGATTTGTGTGGGAAGCTTCCTTGGAAAGTCAGTTTCCAAGATAAATAAAGCTTGACAAGTTAGAATAGGGAATTCAAAAATCCTACAGAGTATAGACTAATTAAACAGTTTTAGCTTGATGTTTAACTGTTTGTGTAGATAAATAGTTGATATACCAGCTGTTCTAAAACGACAATGAGGTGAAATAAATTGTGGCTGATTATGCATTGATAGGACTTTTAGACATGACAAGAGCTTTTGGGGAAAGGTAGGATCATTGATCTGTGAGGATTTTTGATCGTTATGTGTCTATGCCGGGCAGGAGTAGGATTAGATAAGATGCTTATAAACTTTAGTATGTGGCCCAGTGGTTAAGTACATACTTTATTTCTTCTTACGTTACAATGTTCTACTAAGGATTCTACTGTCTAGGCAAATAATTTGAAAGCCTTATCTTTTTCTGTGAAATATACCCTTGTAATCTTTGAATGTCATAGTTTTTCTATATTTATTGGGACCCTGCAGATATTGCATGACATTCTACATTCATGAGTTGATAGCATTAGTTTCAAGTGAATGTTTGTTAAAGCCTTTGACAAATGATTTTGCTGAATTATTAAAATTGATCTGGATAAGAATTTCTTTGCTGCCACAGAACCTTATGGTTTGGTGGTTCTCTACTATCATCCCTTAAAGCTAGTTATATTGATGGAAAAAAAGAACCAAAACTGCAATTATGATAGGTTTTCTTGGACCTTGAATTTTAGGTATGGCATCCATACACGCTTTGCAAACATGGTTATGTATTACATTGTGCATTGAGGTGTTAAACACAAAAGCCTTGATTATGACTGATGAGAGGCTCAAGAGACCTGGAACTTTTCTTCTCAGACATGAAAGACTCAATGGGGTCGCATCTCCATATATGCATATCATGTTTTCAATTACTCACTATGATCATCAGATTCAAAAGCATCTGTCACTATCACCTTTAGGTTCCACCCCCCCCATCTCTTTGATTTAATTTTTGCATTAATATCTGGGTTAGTAGTTGATACAGTCGAAACATTGGTTCCTTATATCTGCCACCAGGCGCTTGTACTGTTGTCAGTGTCAAGTATAAAGAGGGTGATGAGATTGTACCATCACTGATGCAAGTTGTATGCTAGACTTTAATTGTTGATCGCCTATCTTTTTAATACTTGCTACTCGGAAGTATGAGATGCTACTCAGATGGAAGTGTGAGAAATTTTGGAATTTGTATCCGTATTCAGTTTGCTACGATGTTTCATGACTCTTGTAAGGTTTTCTAAAAGATTTAGTTGTTCTAGTTCAGTTCATGTGAGATATGACATGCTTCTAGTGCTGTCTTTAAGATAAAACCACCAACATGTTGGCCCATTAATCCAACTTCTTATGCGACAGTTGTTCATAGTTATTATTATGTTTATTGATTCATTGATGCTCCTAAAACCTGTTGCTAGTGGTAGCTATTCAGGGAGACAAGTATCATTGATGCTCATTGAGCATGTTTCTTGCCCTACTGATCAAACAGTGCAGTGAAAACTTGTGAATCAGAATTAATGGTTAGTTAATTTTTTCCCTGTGAATTTACACTTATCATTATGCAAACTCGAGCTATCTTAAATTTCAAACATACATTTATGCTTTTGCGGTGCTATATGCTGCATGATATCTTGTGAAATTGCATCTTGTATTAAGGACTGAAGGAAAATACATGTGTGCTCATCTCGTGTCTTTACTTTCAAATGGTTTGGGTTTAAAAGGCCATGATACGACCGAACCTATTCCCTTTTCATTCTTTTTGTCCAGCAATCCTTAGTCCAATCTACACGAGATCATCCTTTCCTGTGTTTTTTCTTCCATTCTTTTTCCCTCATACCAAACACAAAGTTATTGTTGAGAGCTTCAGCACAAAACAGAGAAAAAAATAATAATTTTAACTTTGATGAATTTCAAACGGCTCTTGATTCTATGCTACTCCAATCATGACAATTGCGATGTATTCAAAGGTTCTTTTGGCCGCCAATTTTATTCGGGGACTTTTTCTTCACTTTCTTCATTTTCTTGGTTGTCCTTTGCATTTCCAATTAAATGCCAGTTGGTTGATCATTCATTATGGACATTTAGGAATTAATTAAATAAATAAAATTGCTGAAATGATGATGAATAATTCACAATGCATTTATACACAAGATTATATGTGTATGGGTCACTGTCAGCTATATACAGAACTTGAGGCGCAAACATGGAACACGTCATATGTGGTAGATTCCATCCAAATTACAGTCCCACTTTAACTATTTGCTTCCTTTGCCAACAACTCAAAATTCAGGATGAAAATTCAAGCACATCATCTGGTCGTCCTGCTTATTGGCTTGCAATTACTGCTGATTTCTGATGCACTGAACAGAAGCAGTTTTCCTGATGGTTTTCTTTTTGGAACAGCGTCATCAGCGTATCAGGTGACGTACTGATTATGCTTTCGAGATTTTCCTTCAAGCTTCTTTCAGAATTATATATATCTGAAACTCTGTATGGTTGTTGTATTGAAGTATGAAGGAGGAGCCAGAGAAGGAGGAAGAGGACCAAGCATTTGGGATACTTTCACTCACAAATATCCAGG